TGAATACAAATCAAGGATGCAGTAACCAAAACTGGATCCACTAATGTAGGTCCAGCCAGTTTCACAAATAAATTGGGCAAAAGAAAATCAGAAAAGGGACGGGAAAATGGTCTCGGTGTGGTCAAGATGCTCCAAACCTTGTAGGTGGCGATAGAAGGTCTCTGGCAGACATCCTCAGGGAGAGAAATTCTTCAGACAGGATCCTTGCACCAAAAAGTCCCTGTGATGATCCAGATCTGTTAGAACCACTGTGTGGAGATCAGACAACCTGACTGGCGATAACAGCCTTGGATAGCTATGGTGGGAGGAGAGTTGCTCAAATACATCATGGTCTAGATTAAGGCTGCCTTGTATCAGATTAAGCACAGATGAGGGTTGCAGTGAATCTTGTTCTAGTACCTTTAACTTCACCCTACCATGACTCTGAAAGAATAGTGTTCGTTTAGGGTCAGACACAAGGTGGTGGTGTTGGAATGTACAATACCTGATCATTTATGTTGGCAGTGTAAGCCTAAGGATGAGCATTTCATGCTCTAAAGAGTTGCCATTATCTATGAGATGCTAGGTAAGGACTGTATTGGCCCTCAAACTTTAATTGGTTTTGTAAATCAAGGGTTCTTCAGATGTTAAAGTTTCTGTGCTGCCCTTTGATAGCAGGGCTCTCTGGGGTTTATTCAATCTGAAGAAGTCATTGGTGGATTCAAGTAGGGGCAAGGAGCTCCATCTCTTCCTCAGTCAGAGGAACATTCTGTCCAGCAATAGGCCTCAGTGGTGAGATGCAGAATAAGCTCATTTCTATAACAGCTCTGTTGTCTCCTTGTTTTAATTCTATAGTGGTTTGGATATTATAGAAGTGGGCAAGCCAAGGAGACCATCCCCCTGCAGGAGACCTCGCTGTACACAAAGGTAAAAAGCTGGATCTTCTATGGAAGAATCTCCCATCTCCATAGGGTTGCCAATTTTGGTTGGACATATTTCTGGAGGTTTCATCACAACATCTCGTCTTTAATTAAAAATTAATCTTTAATTCCTGGAGACTCCAGGACAATCATGGAGGGTTGGCAACCCTATGTCTCCACTGTAAGTAGTTTAAGCTCTCCCCAGGAATCTTGGCAGGGTTCCACTATCTAGCCTCTCTCTCTCTCATCAAAGAGATCGCATTTTGTATCTGAACTTAGTTCCCATGAAAGGAAAAGGCTGGATCTGCTGATTAAGCACAAGAAAGATGCGCTTATCCTCCCAAGTACTGTTTCCCCCATTGAACAGATAGGGAACTGAGGAACCTCAGTACCTCAGGGTCCCACAGAAATGTGTCAGAGCAGGGAATTGAACTCCGGTCTTCTGAATTATAGGCCAGCACCCTGACCTAGCCTTTCTCCTCCAGTCTCTGCTGGAGATAACTTAGCTGAAAAGTACTTCTACGGAGCAAAGTTAGGCCTTTGGAACAAGCCAGGTAGCACCGGATGAGGGTTTATTTATTTATTTTAGAGAGTCCCTGGTATTCATATTTCACTTGGTATGGCTTGCACAATTTCTTCAGCCTACACCAGCTTAAAACGGCTAGGCTACCACTATGTGCTTCATGCTGATCTTGTTTACACTGCTCTAAATCAGGAGTCACTCCATTGAAGTTAAAAACCGATCTAAAAGTGGCGCACACTCTACCAGCTGATTACAGCCTCATGCACACGTTGGCCAGCTGGGTTGCCTCTCCCTTTGGGTGTGAGATCCTTTAAGTGTGGGAAATGAATGAATGCTTCACTGCAGCAACCCATGAACTTGGCCCATGGCCTTCCCACCAGGATGCAGGGAACGTTGTGAGAGCCCTTGATAAAATAGCACTGCATCCTCAGCCTAGCAGGTAGTTTTGAGGCAGGGAAGACCTGGTTCCTGGGGCCCGTTCTAGTCCGGCTTTCATTGCACTTATACAGTTCCCTTCTTTTTAAATAAGCTGTTGAAAGCTCATGCTTCTCACAGCAGCCCATGCCCCATTTTCCTAGCAGGGCAGTTGCATTATGCCGTGTAATTCCCCCACGCAAAGGAAAGGGCTATTTCCATACAGCCTGAACTCCAAGAGCTGTTGTAACTGACCCACACCTATTCTCAACAAAACATTGGTCTGTTCTATTGCAGACTCTAGTAAAGGGCTCCCCTGCTTGGCAAGGATGATGGGGGCCAGGGACAGCACTTGAATTCCAGAAAGAGACAAGGGGAACTCTTGTAAATAATCAACGCCCGGAAGTGAAAAAATAGTAAAGAGTAGATGCTAATGGAAGATACGGTGGGATCCACACTAGTTGTAGATAATTTTGGTGGTGGTAGAATTAAAGGGTCCAGGACAGGAGGGCATGGGTCTGTTATCTGCTGTTACTCTTGTACAGGGGTGGCCAAACCATGGTTTGCGAGTTGCATGTGACTCTTTTACAGTTAGTGTGGCTCACAGAGCCCCCCATTCTCCACCTACCGGACTGGGGCAGGGGGAGCTCGGGACTTCTGCCTTGCAGCAGGGTGGTGGGAGAGGGGCTTCTGCCCAGCAAGGCAGGGGGGAGTGGGGCTGAAGCCCTGAGTCCGGCAGGTGCGGCCCCAGCTCTCAAACTTCCAAAGATGGTCGTATGCGGCTCAGAGGATCAGTAAGTTTGGCCATCCCTGCTCTTGTATTTCTGTATCACAGTCTTTTCCTCCAAAAGTTAAATGGGAGGCACTCTAGCTACACTGAACCAATCTGAACTTAAGTCCCCATTAGAGAGACGAGAGAGATGTGGTAATATCTTTTATTGGACCAACTTCTGCTGGTGAAAGAAAAGTTTTTGAGCTACTCAGAGCTCTTCTTCAGCTTTGTGTAGCTCAAAAGCTTGTCCCTTTCACCAGCAGAAGCTGCTCCAATAAAAGATATTACCTCATTCACCTACTCTCTCTGCTATCCTGGGACCAACATGGTTACAACACTGCAAACCACTACCTAAGTCCCCATGAAAGTCAATGAGACCAAGGTGCTTTGGAAAGTTATTTAAGCCTCTCTGGTAGCCTACTTTCATGCTGGTCTTCTTCTCTTGTAGGATCAGCTGGGGCTGCAGCAGATGGACAAGGCAGGAAAGCTGGTATTCCTGTCTGTGGCAGCAGATCACCTTCGCTTTTCTGAAGAGTGGTTTTATACAAACATCATCCCCTTCCTACACTGAAGTCGATGTGTGGCAGCAGCCTGACAAGAGAAGGTGACTTCCTTCAGACCAAGCTCCTGATACAAGGCGGAGGAAGTCACCCTGTTAAGAGTTCTAGCTTGGATCCAATTGCTGTAGCTAACAAACTAAGCTGCCATTTACTGCGTAACAGCACGTCCCCCATACAAACCTGCTGCCGCATGGTAGGAGGGCTAACCAAGTACTTAAGGGCATACTAAGTCTGCTGGTTGTTGTCAGAGTGCATTAGAAGTGGCACGGTTTAAATTTAATATGCTGTAGCATATGGTCCCAACCCAGACTAGGTTTCTGTGTTAGCAAGTTTTGTATGGTTTTCAAAGAAGCTAATATAACTGCACCAGTCACTTGCTGGAATATAGTTGTGGTTTTCAAATTTCTTTTCTGGCGACCCAGTTGAAGAAAACTGTCGATGCCCGTGACCCAACAGAGCTGGGGATGAAGGGTTTGGGATGTGGGAGGGGGCTCTGGGCTGGGGAAGAGGGTTGGGGTCCGGGGGTGAGGGCTGTGGGTTGGAGATGGGAATGAGGGGTTCAGGGTATGGGATGGGGGCTCTGGGCTGGGGAGTGCAGGAGGGGGGTCAGGGCTCTGTGTGCAGTCTCTGGGGTGGGGATGAGGGGTTTGGGGGGCTCAGGGCTGGGGCAGGAGATTGAGGTGTGGGTTTATCTCCGGCAGCTCCTGGTCAATGGCGCAGCTGGGGTACAGAGGCAGGTTTCCCATCTGTCCTGGCACCACAGACCGTGCTGCGCCCCAAAAGCAGCCAGCAGCAGGTCCGGCTCCTAGGTGGAGGCATGCAAGCAGCTCCCCAAGGCTCTTGCCCACAGGCACTGCCCCCCCCCCCCAACTCCCATTGGTCAGTTTCCAGCCATTGGGAGTCCGGAGCTGGTGCTCAGGGTAGGGGCAGCGCACAGAGCCCTGTGGCCCCTCTGCCTAAGAGCCGGACCTGCTGCTGGCTGCTTCTGGGGCACAGCGTGGTGTCAGACTCAGAACAGGTAGGGACTGCTAATTTTTGCTGGCTGGCTGCCAGGGTCCCTGGGTCATGATCCGAAGTTTTAAAACCACTGGTATAGTTTAACAGCTGAGCCATTTGAGACTGGGTAGTCTCAGTTTTAACAGAGCTATGTTCTAGCCACATTCCTGTCCCTCTGTCAGGATACTTAAGTTAATACTAACAAGCATAACTAGTTTAGATAAGGCCCATAGAGTGAGGACCACCACTTAGATTTAAGGACGCATGTTTGTAGAAACAGGGGAGAAGACCGCATTACAGCTGCGGGAAGGGGTGCTGGCTCATGGGAGGGAGTGGGTTATGGATTAAGTTTTCAATGGTTATTAAAAGCTTTTTGAGGGGTTTGGTGTGTGGGAGGGGGCTCAAGGCTGGGGAAGAGGGTTGGGGTGCAGGGGTGAGGGCTGTGGGCTGGCTAGCTACTGTTTTGCACTGGTTCAATGTTGATTCTCTTTAATAAAGAATGTTTTACAGCTCCTAATGAACTAAGGGATAACCTCTCTTACTGCCCTACCAGTGACAGATTCCCCTCCTCAGCAAGGGTGCTAGCAGCGTGAGTTTGAAAAAAGGAAAGTAGTACTAGGAGTGTCAGTGCTCTCCACTTAGTGGCTGGTCCTGCAATAAGCTTTGCACCCACACACAATTCTGATCTATCCACTAACAGAGCCCATTGAGCAGCAGGGGGTGGCAGAGGGGGTGTCAATCCGCATTCTCAACAACCTGAGGTATGTTTTTAGCAACAAGAAGTTTCCTAGCTGCACTCCAGTATATCCCTTCTGAACAGCAAACAAGGGCTAGTGTAATGAGCAGGTTGGCATGAACTTTATTCTATCTTCTGTATAATTTTAAGTACATAAGAAAAGTTTTTTCCACAAGCCTCAGGAGAAGATGAGTACAAGTTACAGGACAGTCTCAAAATAAAAAAAATTTGCATATTTTGTGAGTTTCATCCTAGAGAAAAAACCATTGACAACGTACAGAGGAAATGCAGTCAGATATGCGGATGTCACCAGAGACAGGGAAACACGAAGGGCAAGCATGTGCAGCTCCCTTTAGGGTCAATGCAGGCCCTGGAAAAGAGGCTGCAAGCCTCCAGCAGAGTAAAGAGCCAAGCAACAGGGGAAGGGGAGAGGCTGAGAACAATTTCACATTCTATAGTAACTAAGCATGAGTGAGGATGACCAATGGAACTGACTTAGTCGAACTCTTGTTTACAAAACAAATACTGAATGGGGAATGAAGAAGCATCCCTCGCTAGGAAGGAGAGACAGGTTCAGAAGAACTGTCTTGGAAGACTGAACTTGAGTTCAGCTGCTTAGAAGGAACCCCTTGGGTGAAGATCCCTTTTGGAGAAGGGCTCATAGGGAAGTGGACACTTCAGCTTCTAACCCTGGACAGACAGCAGAGTAGATCATTTACTCCAATGCAGTCTTCCGTGGCACCTGTTGACTGCAAAGCTCCCCATCATGGCACAAAGAGAATTACACAGAGCAAATAGGAGCGTTGAAAGGGAAACTTACGGTGGAATGCTACACGCCCAGTCCTCAGCCTTTGGTCCAGCAAAGCCATTCCCCACATCTTGTAATGCCACTGACTGATTAGTACACACAGCTGGAGTTAGTAGCAGCTCCCAATACCTTCCTGAAACACACTTGCCAGCTCAACTTACCAAGCTGGGAACGATGGACCCTGATAGGGACACCATTATGTCAATTCAAAGACAGACAACATTCCTTTCCCACACGAACAATTTGTCTGAAGATACCACAATACCAAACCCATGGAACAATCTGAAAGCCAACCACCCATCCTGGCTCTGAAGTTCGCCAGAAGTCAGATGTGATTGATTGGTGAGGTTAGATCTGACAAGGAGGGGGGTGATGCACCTTCCTGCTGATAGATGCAGATGATCAACTGACCCGCCACCCTACACCAAAGCCCAGCCCGAGGTATTTCAGCGAAGGCAGGTAGCTGTGTCTCTCGGGTAGAAGACAGAGAAGCAGTTTGAGAGCAGAAAGGTACAGGAAATCTAAGAGAATCGTCTGAAAGCAGATTTGTCCCACAGCCAGGGCAAGGGGAGGCACAAGTCCCAATGCCATTCTGCTTAGCCAGCAATTTCCGTCACGCTGGTAACCAGCTTCTGCCCGTTCCACAGGGACTTGAACTGTTCAGGGATAGGGAACTCGTTCTGGAGGGTGAAAGAAATCTGTAGTGAAAAGTCTGGTTTATATGAAAGACGAGACTATTCCTGTCCCGCCTAGCCTGACAAACTTAGTGGCAGACAAAGAATCATTTGCACTGCACTAGGAAGCTACTACCCCCCTTTCCGTATTGCTCTGTAGTGTTTTGAGCACTGCAGATATGTCATTTAGGACACGGGCAGAAAGGATGGACAAAATTTGATTTAAATTCCAAATAAAGACCAAGAACTGGTATGGTGAGTAGATGCTACATTTAACAAGTCACAGCTTTTTCTAGAAGATTAAACTGAAGAAGTCTAAAGTTAATATCACACTTTGTTACCATAGCCACATTTCATTCCCCACTGGACCTAGGAGGGTCAAGCGTTACTTCCAACAACAGTGTCTTCATAGTGAGCGCCATCTGGTTAGGAGCTAGTGAATTTGGCTTCAGAGAAGACAGATCAAGGGAAGACACCTACATCTTAAGTTGGATGGGTTTCAAGAATCCATCATATAAAGGGTGGAATCTGGGGCAGTATCTAGCTACCAGAGAAGGGCTCTATTGGCAGGTCCTTCAATGAACAGCCTTCCCTGGGAGGGGTTAGTTTTTGTCTCAGTAAGACAATGGAACAAGATGTGACCTGAAGCGATGCTATGCTTCTTAATCGCTCTGATTCCTGTCATTGAACAAGCCCCGCCCCTCACAGCTCTCCCACTCATTTCGGGAAGAGGAAACACTTACAAAGTCACCACTCTCTGTGGGGATGAGGACGTTCATCTCTGAAGACTTGGCACTGACAATCTCACATTCTAGGGAGCTCTTGCTCAGATACACGTGGCATCCATCTGTCTTGTTGATGGAAATTGTTGGCACTTTACCCATTACCTAGTGAGGAAAACACAGCAGGGAGGTGGTTACAGTAGCATCCGCTTATCCCAGGGAACCACTATAGTTCATTGTTTTACATTATCCTCCAGGGATTAAGTCTTCTACACTGAACTCTACCATATCTCTGGAGGGAAGCAAATATTAGCTTTGTTCCACAGAAGGTCAGACGAAAGGCTAATGGAGGTTGAGCAACTTGCCCATCACCACAAATCAAATGGTGGGATAGAAATTAGAACAGACTCCTACTCTCAGCCCCTTGCTTTAGCTACAAGATTACACTGCCTTCCTTAGGGTGGATAATCCATCCAGAATCTATGCTCAGTATGAGGAGTTTGTTTTCCATTCTGCAACCCAGTTTAGACAGCTTGCTCCAGTGCGGTTTGAAAACCCCTGCATGGAAGGAGTTCGATGTGTTTAATAGAGAGGCTTCATTAGATTGTGTCCTGCAAAGTGAACCTGTAAAGGCACCACCGCATAACGCAGGGCAGAGTTCTATACAGTCAGTCACAAGGAGGGTTGTGGGTGGTTACCTGAACTTTAACGTCCCTGCAGTTTATGATCTCCACGATGCCCACCACATCATCAAACACCAGACCTAGCTTCTTACAGTTATCTGCAGGGGAGAAAGAAGAGCTCAGAGCTACAACCCCCACTCCAGATCCTGCCCTTTGATGTGCCAGCATACAGAAGGCCAGCCCATTTGGACCACAGCACTTACCCACTGTGATGGAATTGATTTTGCCCTTGATTTGGAGTGTACTGTTCGTGCAGTTGTAAATATATGCTACCTGCTTCAGCTCTGTGTCACTGATCACCAGGTTGGAGGCCATCTCCTGGTTTTCCTGAAAAGGGGTGACAAATACCAGTTACTCTTGTTTCCCTAAAGAGCTACCGAGTGAAGTGTGGAGGTGTCATGTCACCTTCTCTCCTCTGAAGAATTCACAAGGCTGCAGAGAGGGCTTGTTCCTTCAAGCTGACACCTTCTAGTTATTTCAAAGGAAAGATGTTTGTGGGCCATCTTCTGCTATTGAATTCCCATCACTCTAGCAGCCAGTCTGGGCTGTCACATGGACACTCACCACTCTCCACTTCTTGCCCTCCAGCTCTAGCATCGCCGGTTCCTTCTTTGGGGATGATTTTTTGGGTGGGTTAGCTGCACAGGCGGGTTTGGGAGCGGTGAATGGTTTGGGTCCTGTTCGGACAGGGCCACCTTGATTCTTCAGCCCTGGGTTCTTGTGAGTCTTCATATCATCTGAAACATGTTTCAGGGCTACAAGAGAAATCGCTGTTACTTCAGACATCATTTGGTTGGATAATGCTAAGTTACTAGGTGCGCAAGATCCAAGTTTAACAAGTACCAGAAGTCAGCAGCTATTACAACAGCAGTCTGCTGAAATCTTTGAGGACCCATAAAACAAGTTCTCTGCTTCAAGAGTTTATAAACTACACTGAACATGAACGATTGCTATGAAGAAAGGGACCTGGAAGAAAGTTAAGTGCTTTTAGCACTTAATGATATGAGATTGAGAGCTAGATTTAAAGTGTTATGTTTAGAACTAGAGCAAGTATTTCACAGCTGTTCCACTCCCTGTAGGGAAGAGGTAAATCTAGGACCAAGTTTTCATGAGCTTTGTTTCACCCCGTCATTGAACATGCAAATGGTAATTTGTGTGCAGGTTTGCACATGCAAAAGTCTCCTCCCCCACCTCCCTGCTAGTTTTTAAACTACAATATCCTAACCATGCTCTTTTGAATATCTGATGTTCTGAGCAGTCCAAGTCCATTCATCCTGGGAACGCTATTAAGTAAGAGAACTCTTCCTGCATCCCAGAGGTAGCTTTTTAGGGTTTGCAGATAAGTGACCCAGAACCCCATGCAGACTTAACCTAGAATGTTTTCTTTCGTTGACCTACTAGCCAAATGGCTGCCCACCACCAGCCTTCAGTTGCCCAGTTTGCTTACCGGAGGTAATGCCTTCTCCCTGATTGATCTGGTCAAACAGTGCTGAGCGGGACACAGAGTCATCTGAACCGGAGTTTGTGGGGCCTGGAGCAGGAGGTGGGGGAGGACCAGGCGGTGGAGGAGCACCACCAGTTGGGGGTGCTGCAGGTGCATTGCCCACCTCTTTTGCTATAGGACCCTGTAAGAGATGCCCGAGAGGGAGTTAAACTTGTGTGATCATTACTTGCTGCAACAGTCCCCGTAACATTAGATTCCCTAGATTATGAAGTATTGATTGCCAACATATAGTCAGCACTCACCGTTTTGCTCCAGGTCAGCCCAGTGGTGTGATACTCTTTGATGTATGTCTGCAGCTCTGCCCAGATATTCAGATAAGCTTTCACCCAGTCCACATGTTTCCTATCTCTAAGGGGACAAAGATCAAGACAAGCTAAGTAGTGCAAGTGATTCTCTAAGAAAGATCTAAAGCCATGTGGCTGTAACTGGATCCTTAAGTTTCCCTGTCCCCTAGCTTGCAAAGATTATTTGGAGCTGAGTAGCAACACCAATGCAAGGAGAGAGCAAACGGCTACAATCCCCAGCCCTGAGGGCTACTGTGCGCAATTAAGACAGTGGGGCGTTCGGGTCAGTAAGCCAGTTACTGTTGAATGCTAGCCCTCCGCACCTAGTCAGAGGTCCACAGACTGCAGAACAAAACACCTGCAACAAACTAAACCCTACTGGGTGATGCTCAATTGGCAGAACATATTGGAAAGATGTCTTACTGCGTAGGGGAAAAGAGCCAAGAGGGTTACTGGATGGAGTGGACACACAAGGGACGCCAATGCACTTGCTACCATTGATTTGCCCAATATCATAAATCTAAGAAAACCTGTCAAAGTCAATATATTTATGGGAATGTAGCTGTTTCTGAAGCTGAGGTGTATTAAACACACCCTGCCACTGCTAAAGGAAAGGAGTGGTATTAAGTTTACTAGGCAAGGCTTCAGAGATGTCATCGTTCTTGCTGGTTCAGCTTGCATTAGGGCTTTGTTCACAGCTGTCTGATTTCCACATTCTGGAGACCAATGAAGGGGATAGGGCACTAGCTAGGACTTGGGAAACTCAGCTTCAATTCTCTGCTCTGCTACAGACAGCATGTGTGACCTCCGGCAAGTCACTTAGTCTCTGTGCCTCAGTTCCCCATCTGTACAATAGGGATAACAGCACTGCCTCCCAGGGGCGTTGGGAGGATAACTACATTCAAGACTGTGAAACACTTTGTGGTCTACTGATGAAAGGCTTGTACGTAAGAACTAGGTATTGTTTAACTTTAAGTGACTTGGCTGAAGCAGGCAGGGTTCTCTCAGGTTAAACGGTGTATTAGTAAGGTGCAATACCAGACCAGCACAGCAGATGCTGTTCTCTGGAACCAAGGTATTTTATTATCTTAATCCTTCAGGACTGCGTGCTAGGGGGGCCACATGCCCCTCCACAGTTAGATCAAGGAACTGAAATTTCCGTATTCAGCTGTCTGCATCCCTCCCGCTTTGCAGAGCGAAGCTGAACCTACACATCCTTGTATTCCTTGAGGACCCGGTTGGTGTAAAACATGGCCGCATCCATCATTTCCTTCACGTAGGGACCAGGCTTTGGGGCCTAGAGAAGACACAACATATTAGAACCAGGGCCTGTTGCAGCAGCAATCCCAGCCTCCCCCACACCCAGGACCCACTTTAGTCCTTACCATAGCCATCCAGCCCAGTGCTGGGATGCTCTCACTGACAGCGGATAGGTGATTGAACAGTTTGCTGCCACGATTTTTCTCCCGGAAGTTCTGCACCACCTGGATTTGCTCTGAAATGGGTTTCAGTAGCGTTGAGAAGTTATTCTGCGACACAGAAGGGGATGGGTGGCAAACAGAGAGAGCCATTCTTAGATGGAATCCAACTGGCACAAGCCTAAGCTACAGCTCTTGTACAAGCTTTGTATTGCCAGTGTTCCAGTTACAGCCCCCACCCACGCTCTCCTGTAGTTTAGTGTTGGACTAGTGCTATGGAAGTAGGCCAGAAATTGTGACTAATGCAGAAGCCAAGAGGCACTTTGAGACAAATCTCATCAATAATGAAGACAGGAATAGCCTTTTAGAGATTTAGTATTCAGATGCTTTTCAAATTGCTTTGCGGTCTTGGTTTTCGGGCACACATTACAGGTTCATTACAAACCAAGTCGCTCCAGTATCTAAACTTGACAGGGTGAGTTAAAGAGAAAGAGAGTTGAACTTTAAATCAAGTTACTTCTGTGAATTCAATTCAATTTTTTTTTAATGCTTAAAAATTCACAAAGTGTCTTGCTCTGCGGTGGCTATTCAGAGATATGGACATAGGAGATCAGTTGCTCAGAAGCAGCTTTCCCAGGTCATTTGGTTGGTCTGCTCTACTATAGGACAAATGTTAAGAGCATGAACCATATCAGAGATGGTCTCATGGACAACCTCCTTTCCATTTGTGATCATACCTCTCACTGTGTCAGCAGCGATATATACGGAGTAGACTATAGGCAGATTTTTTTTAAAGCTCTAAGTGCAAAGAGTGTTGTGTCTTTAAGAAGAGTCTGTTTGCACTCTTCATTTTGTTGTTCTTTCCTATCTGCTCAGTTGCAGATGGAAAGGAGGACAGCTAACTCTCTCGGACCACCAGCAAGTACTCCTGGCTACTGTTTGGGAAGCTCTGATCGAGAGCCATGATCGGGTAAGGGTATGCTTGAGTAAACAAGCTTTAGAGAATTCAAGTATTTGGCATCTGAAACAAGGGCGTGCCTGCTCCAGAATTGACTAGACGTCCTTTACAAAAAGCTATCTAGGAATTAAAGGCTACGAGTAAGCCACTCTAAACAAGGCTTACTTGTCTCAGATCTGTTGAATTGGTAAATGGGTTCCTGGGCTGAAGGCCTTCTATGCAGACTTCTGTGTCCTAGGCAGTCTGGTTTAAGAGGGAAACAGAACCCTGAAGCTGAACTGTGATACTCTACTTTGCAATGAAAGGGCAAGCAGCACAGAAATTCTGACATCCTGAAGTAGCATTAGCAGAGGTGGTAGTTCTCCCACTGGGACATTGCAAGGACGGGCAAAGGTGCATAACATATCACTAGAGAAGTCAAAGTAGGAGAAAACCAATGCATGCAGGATCAGACTCCCCTCCCAGGCAGAGAAGCTGCAGCATGGGGGGGAACTGTTGATCTGCTTACTAAGGAAAACTGACCTTAAGACTCTAGCCATTATTCGGGTATCACAGCATCGAGCCAGACACCTATGCTACCAAGGGAAGAATCTTCCTGTAGTGCTTTGAGGACTTACAAACACCGTATAATGCTAAGTATTGTCTGCTCAATTCCCAGTGCCGCTGCCATCTCACAGGTTCTGTTCTGTAATTCGTGGCTTAACAAATAGGAACTGCATCTAGTATTGATGCCAAGTGAAATATGAGCCAAGTACCGGCTGTCAGGTATGAGAAGGAGCCACCTGTGCTCCTTACGGCAATTCCATAAAATACTCAGCATTTTCTACTAGTTTCAGTGAGTCTTGAGTCAGTTTCTGGAACTAGACTCTGCGCACGCTATTCTGATCAGAAGAGTGCGAACTCATGGACGAAGGAGTCACCTCCACTCCAGAGAGGTTTCTTGAGGAGCAATTTTAAGGGCCTAGAGTCCTCAGCTTTCGCAGTTTTCCTCCCAATTAGCCAAGACCTATGCAGCTCTGAATGACCTATGTTAGGATTCTCCAGACTTACCGCTGATGGCTGCTGACATTGTGATGCTGTCACCAGGAGAACCCTCTCGGTCGTCAGGCCTGTATGGACCATTTCAGCCTTATAAGGAAGGGGGAAAAAAAACAGTTACACATTGTTTACACAGACAGTGTGGTCAGTGTGCTAGCCTGGGATTCAGGAGATCAGAGTTCAATTCCCTGCTCCATCACAGATGTCCTGAGTGACCCCGGGCAAGTCACTTGGCCTCTCATGGTTTTAGTTCCCCATTTGTAAAATGCGGATAATAGTGCTCCCTACCTAATGGGGCATTGAAAAGATAAATATATAATAGATTGTGAGGTGGTCAAATACTATGGTAATGGGGGCCACAGAACATAGCTAGACAGAACAATGTAACTACATGTAGATATCAGGTGTATTTACAGGGACCAGTCCATCTTTTTGGCCTCCCTTGCATGGTTTGGTTGTGAAGACAGCTGATTCTGGGCCATATGGTCTGGTTTTAATCTCTCCCTGTTCTTGGAGAGACGTTCAATAGAAATTGATGAGTCAGGATAGACAAAAATTTACCAACACTATAACGGGGCAGTTCTGTTCCCACTTAGAGGGATACACAAAAGAGAGGTAGATGGAGATCTCCTGTGGGTTATCCTGTGTTGAATCCTCCAAGATTAGTGCTTTGCTCTAGGGAGTGGGGAAAGGGAGGCAAAGCTCAACAACTTCTCTTACTCAGCCCTTAAAAGTCTAGAGTAGTGGTCAGCCATATATTTACAACACGAGAAAAGGAAGCTAAATCCTTACATGTTTCTGAACGTCGCCACCAATGTCTTTGCTGATCTTCATATATTCTGCTACTGGACCAGCCAGGAGAGTGTCGAAAGCTTGCACGTACGCAGCCATTCCTGCAGAAACAGAACAGGGCGCAGTGTTAAGGGGAGCAGATGGACTCAGACTGGAAGCATTCGGGAGTATTTTCAGCAAATGCTGCCACCCTCCTTACACTGAAGTTTTGCAGAGCACTTTGTGAGTAGGATTGTGCAAGTCAGAGCGTATATATGGCGGCAGCGGCTGCTGATCCTCAAGCATGCAGGTGGATGCTGGTCTAAATGTACCTTTGCGTAAGAAAGTAGCTTGGCTGTAAGGAGACAAGGGAAGTACTGCACCCGCAGGAAGTTCTTGTTTTAACAGTACAGTAACCACAGGCCCCCCCTGCATTTGTGTGTATGTCGGCATGTTATCTGTGTGAAACTCACTTCCCCTCCTGGTACAGCTATTCAGGCTTACACAACATCAGCTTGCAGGCTCTGCACAGCATCTGCCTTCCAGAATCGGTACTTTCAGCGTCCAGTGCAATGCAATGTGTCCAGTATTGATACAGGGATTTGCAGCAGAGGGTCCCTACCTTTGGAAGAGCCATCTCCATACATGCCAGGGCTTTGGGACACAGCTTCCAAGCGACCCACAGCCTTCTCCAACCGCTCAACCAAGCTTTGCATCTCAGTCATTGCTCACCACCTGCAGAGAGAGACTACTCACCATTAGCTCCTCGCACACATCATCAACGGAGTGCTCAATAGTCTCATGGGCTTACTTAGCATTCTGAATGTTAGCCATTCCCCAATCCGACGGGGAATCTTATTCTAGCCTCACATCATCCACTTTAGGCATTTTAGACTCCGTCGCACGCTTACCCATTGTTCAGATAACTCTTCTGATTACCCAGCTGCCAGAGGGCTCCATGGGCCAATCCATAATTACCAAATAGTGTCTACTGCATAGCAATTCATAGCACATCCATGCTAGACTGACAAGGAGAACTTCCAGATATTTTGTTGTAAGTGCTCAGATACCATGGCGGTAGGTGAGGCGTAAGACCCTGCCTAGAATTTTATAGACGACAGGAAAACTGACCACAGCTCTGATTATGACCATAACTGACTTCTTGTAGGATTGCTATCAAAGGGTCGGTTCTTTTTCTACACGTATAACGGCTTCGCTAGGAAGAGTTAATTGCAGATAAGATTCGGTGGTTTTGATTCCGCAAATACATTTGAGGTGGCCACACCCACCCCTGAATTCCAAGACTGCAGCAATGTCTCAACCCACGGAATTAGCATGCTAAACCCAGACATGCTCTGGCACATGCCAAGACAAGCAGCTGCATAAGAGAAGAATGCGAAGCTGCTTCTGAAACAATGTGTCCCCTGTTAATACTTTCTATCTAGATGCTGCTGTATCTATACTGAGGGAACTAGTCTCCCAGCGATGGACCAGGGCGATGTAGGCACACAAGTCATTTAAGCTTCTCATTTGGAGAAGTATAATAAAACTTTCCTGCTCTGCTCAGCACCAGAGAGCTTCAGAATTCACCCTCTGAACACTAACGCAAAGGGAATGCAGGGAGGGGTCAGCAACCAGCCAGCCACCCGCTTCCATCTTATCACCATACATTAAGACATTTTGAAGCATGAATCACGATGGCAGCCTGAACACACAACTTCCTTTTACTGCAGACGGCCTCCAGAGCTCAGAACCTTAACAGGAAGAATTTCACCTTCAGTCACTGGCGCTAACATACTCAAAAGGGAAACTAGATTTGTTCGGCTATATTTAAAAGCTGAGAATAGATCTGCCTCATAAATCAGACTTGGATTTTAACCAATTTTGCTTTTTGTTTGCAAGCCTCCCAAGTTGTGCTATAAAATGTTTATTTTCCCCTGTCCCATGGATGATGCAGGCCAGATCCAGCATTAGTCACAAGGAACAGTGATGTCACTAGGAAAAACAAGGTCACTCATCCCTCCATTTGTATGAAGAATCAGCAGAAGAGCCACTGAAACACTGGAGAAAGGAGGACGGGATGGGGGTGGAGGTACCGGGGGGGGGGGGGTGTCTGATGCAATGTTCCACCCTAGCGTGTTTACTCAACTTCAGAGAGGAAGAGAGCAATTTCCTCCTTGGAACAGCATCTCCTCTAGTTCACTACAGAAAGGTGATCAGCAGCTACTAGACAAGTTACAGCAAGAAAGAGTTAGAGAAGTTTGAGGCGCGTGTGTGATGTTGATCATGCTGCCTACATTCATGATTAACTCTCTTCTATTTCCTAGGCTGCAGGATACCAAGCACAGGAGCGCAGTGCTCCACCTCAGCAGGAGACCCCCAGGTACACATGAATCCCACTCTGTACAAAGAAGCTGCAGCTCTTGACCCCCTCCCCTCCCACCCTGTATTCCAGAAGGAACAAAAATAACCCCCCCATATCTGCCATCAGGTGTGGATGCTGCACTCCAGAAACTCAGGGAAGCGAGTTCCATACATGTTTTAATGAAGCCTGTTTCCAAAAGGATCTCAGGCAAGCAGACAAAGCTGCCATTCTGCACCACTGATCCCTACTCCAGTCCATATGGGGCTCTAATCTGATCAGACCCGTTACCCTGAGTCTCCGTCTGCATTTCAGATAGGGATTATGAATAACATGAAAGAGCCCAGATGGAGGGCAGTTCCCAACCCTGAGGGATTCAACATGTTGCAGGCCTGTACACAGCAGAATGCACAACATCCCTCCCAGGCGAGCTGCTGAAACCAGAGCGATGTTATTAAAGTTCCCCCAGAACTTCAGATGGACTCCCTCATTCCCACCACTGATCTGTCAGAATCTTCTTGGGCAGCTTGTAGCCCGTGTCAGGAAAACCGTACATGCATGGCATTTGAGGTCACTTCTGTGAACCTAGCACCGCATAACAGATGGCGAATTAATTTCATCTTCTAGTTGCGATAGACATGGGTACCCTCTGCATTAGGACACAGCTTATAAAGTAATCACTTTGATTCTCCTGCCACTGCACCAAGTGACAATTGCTGGCGATGTGAACTCCGGAAGGAACCTGCTACACTTCAGCCAGCCATCACCAGAACTACCTAGCATAGCTTACTCTTCTTGCTGCACACTCTTCTACCCTCCAGATGTAAATTGCATCAAGGGTGCTATTTAAATAAAGAGACATCTCATTATACAGACAAGAATCATACTGATGTTGATAAGAATAGACTCTGCAAACCAGACACTAGAACTCTGAGGGAAAAAAGACCGTACTATTGCACTGGTTGAGCAGTCATCTAATATAACATGAAATGCTGAAACAAAATGTAATTATAGAATCCACGATTTATAGATTAACTTGGTTCTCTAAAGTTCTTTAATGCAATGAGATACAAACAAATAACAGATTCCACTATCTTGGACATTAGAGATAATTTTTGTCCACTGCAATCTGTGTGTCCTGGATAACTTCAAAGTCTTTCTGAACTGAAATCTTAAGTCAAACCATCAGGGCTAGCCCTTCGGATAACCAAGAGTTTGATGTTCAGAGGAGACTCCAACATTGGAGCTATATTCCAGGATTTAGGTTTACGTCTTGTTTACATGGGAAGTTTTTCAGATGTTGTTTTTCTGTTAATAGTTACAAGTCAAGTCTTCAAGAACCAACTATAACTAGTTTTAGCTCTATTAGCAGGCCAGTTAAGAACTCTTGTTGAACCCCCACGCATTTCACTCTGGCCGAGAGATCAATTCACCTCCAGAATATCTGAAAATCTTTTTGGTTTTAAGCTACTCGCCAACATTAATTAAGATAATTTTCTCAGGGCCTGAAGGTCAACACATCCTGGCACTGACACAGGCCTTCCAACTATACCTAGCAACCTGCCTTGTACAGGACTCAAAACAATAAGAGAAATAACTGCTAATTAATCCAAGGAAAACAATACTGCACTGGAGGGAGTTTTCTATTTTGGGAAGCATCAGTCAGGGATTGACAGTCTCTCTGATAACCAGACCAAGACCAGTGCTTAGTAAAGTTAACAGGTCCGGATATAATCTGTATTGGTTTGGGGAAATACTTCTAGCTTGGCTGGTCAAGATATGAGACTTTAATGTTGTTGTCATCTAGTTTAATAATTTTTTCAGTATAACTGAATGTTAGTTTTATAACCTCTCAATAGTCCCCCACAGCTTAGAGTTAGATGTGCACCTCTGTTCAGATTCACTTTTTGAAAAGTATGAGACATTGTGAGCCTCATGTTGCCAACAGCATTATGAGTACTTCCTGTTTCCACAGTCCCGAGGAGCTAAAATGGGACAATTAAGTTGAGAAAATACAAGACTTTAAATTGACATGCTCAGCTGACCTCCTGAGAGGTTTCATACTATTTCCGAGATTTGTATCTTCTAAAACCTTAAGAATCTGTTTCTATCTAGCTGTTCAGTACACCATTTGAGTCAGGCTTTACTTGAAGGAGAGCAGAACAGTAATCAGAGTGACTGATTTAGGATCTGACGCATCTTGGGAGCTGCCAGGGCTAGCAGTGAATACACTGCTACTGCTAGTCCCTGATGGCTGCCAAGACACAAGGTTCTCTAGTCTAAATACTTTTTGACATTGGTTCTGAAATGAAGATATTTAGGGCCAATATCTCAGAATGACAACTTTTTATTTCTGATTTAGAAAGTTATCCCATAATGATATTCTGTTAGATACAACAGATAAAGTCAACCACCTATTTGGACCCTATTCAGCACTCCTGAGTAACAACGTCCACTGAAGTCACTAGAAGTTTTACCTGGGTAAAAAGTGCCAAATAAACTTAGTAGAAAGAAGTTGTGTTAATAGAGTGAAGTGACTCTGAAGTAATCTTTGTTCACTAGAATTACCTGGCATTTGTTTGCACTTGTCAAGTACCTTGCTACGTTTCCTGTCAGGGTGAATAGTCTAGCACAGATTCCCTCTTTTTAAAATCGGAGTATGTAACCTACACCTAATCCTACAAATAATTTGGAACCTCAACATTTAAGCTAGTTTGAGATTGTACTCTGCAGTGTGTCATGGATCCAGGAGTGAAGGAGTTCTGGATAGGCTTCCTTGGGTAGAGTTGCTTTATCTAAAGCTGATAAACCATAACACAAAGGGCTCCTTAGAAGCTGAGAAGTATTCTAGAGTCCCCAAGATCACACAAAGATCCATTTTAACTTTTCTCCCATTTGATTTTCTGAGAGAAGAATGTTAACTTTTGTTACAGCAGGACAGAGTGCCTTTCCAAGGTTAATTTCTTACAATCCAATCCTTCACTCTCTTGTGTCTCTAATGTTGGCAACTTCAGATGTTGGCAACTTCTAGCGTGGTACCAGAAGCTGGCATGACAAATCCTGTGTTTTAGCACAGAAGAGCCACTGCTCCAATTTAATGTGACAGTGGAGCAGCATAGTGAAGACATGATCAGTTGCTTTTTGATCAGGAAAGTTAAAACTAAGATAACATCAATTTCATAGTGAAATGGAAGGGTGAGAGGAGAAAACAGCAGTCCAGAGAACAAGAGAAAGGGAACATCAGAGTGACATGTAGAGAGGTACCAGTGGTTTGATGTAGCTGGCCTGTCCTTTAATAAAGGAAAAATCTTTTGGCACTGCAGGACTAAAAGACATATGCAGTACTGTAGTTGGAAATTGGACACAGTGCTAAAGTTCACCTCTCGTGTCTGAATGAGTCATTCAGGAGATGCCAATCTCTTTAGTCTACACCTCTGGTTTGCTTTCTAATACATCTATCACACTACACATCTGCAGAAAGCTGGGTATTTCACATGGCTATTCATCTTTTAGTTTAATGACTACAGGTCAACAGTGAAGAACTGGCATTCAGAAGAACTAGAGCAAAATCAAGCATGGGGGGGGGGGGGCAGAGTGGGATCACCACTTTATAGATTTTGAGCCAGATTTCACACAAGATTTTCACCATAGGATTTTTTCACCATGACTTACTTTTTCTCCTACTTCAATTCATAGAACAGTGCTAAATGGAGGAAATCAGACCTATTTAGAACTCTACAGCACTTTACACTGGTACAGTAAGCCTTCCATCGGAGGACTGAAAAATGCTTTATGAATACACACGAATTTAGCAACTCCCCTGCGAAGTATTTGGATCTACTTATTTCAGTAACAATCAAAAGGATGCACTCTTCCTGTTAAGTTTATTTTATTGACAACAGAAGTGTTGCTTACTGCCAACCGTTAGGGCAGGAAGTTGTCAGAGAAGCTCAAACCTCTTTTCCTGACTTAATGGATGACATCTGTAAGTAAGAGTCTTTATTAAACTGACCATAGCAAGAGAAGCGCACATATGAATATTTATTGTTTACTGAATCGTTAAGTGACCCTGTTTAACTTTGTTTTGTTTCTAGAGTAGCAGATTTCACACACACAACTGCTCTCCCACTTCCATGCAAACCCCTTTATTCAGAGAAAGCAGCTCATGTGATGACTAAACAGAAGTATTTCCCCTAAAATGATATTCCCAATGAAACTTCATCAGTTCTTAACGTGTGGCTAAAAGAATCTGCTCAGAGAAGCACCTCAGAGACAGTTATTTGGTTTGGGACAGAAAGTCCTGATCTCCTTGTCTCCCCACCCCACATGGAGCTGGGGGGGGCCCTGCTCCCACACCCCTTCAGTCACCTTCCCCTGCCATGGACCTGGGAGCAGCCCTACTACCACACACCCACTTCCCACCCACCCCCCGGACCTGGCAGGCAGCCCCGCTTCCCTTCCCCACCATAGACCTGGGGGACCGCCCCACACTCACCCTCAGGCATCCCCCTCCCTGGACCTGGGAGCAGCCCTGCTCCCACACCCCGCTTCCCTTCCCCACCATAGACCTA